AAAAAAAATAAAAGCTATAAGAACAAAATAGATTGTTTTAATAAACATTAAACAGTTCTTTACAAATAATTTATTATGAGATGCATTCTTGTACACATAATGACACTCATGGTTACATATTTTACTGTAGCATTTTGAAAACTAGAAAGTTGTAGCAAAATATTGTTAAACAGTCACACTTTGAAAATAATGATATCATGCAACCAGACAAATGGCAATACTTGCTAATTTAGATGACCTTAATTTTTAAGGATTGTCTTGAAAGTTAGATATTACAATGTAACCTTAATTACAAAAATGCTACCAAGTTATTTAACAATGAAGTGTGTATTTGTTTTTTTTGTATTTGTAGTTGTGATAGTGGTGTATTGATGCTCATATTTCCCCAGTGACCAGCACTAATTTAATGCACTTCAGGATAATGAGAGGTTGTGAGAAAATTGCTGAGAATTGAAGCAGTATTTTCCACAAGTAATAGAAATGCTTCAATAATCCAGTTGCCTCATTGGCTTGACGTCATCCAACCTCTTTTTCTTACATCTTTCCACGAATAGTATTGCCATTATTTCTGAATCAGCTTTAGTTCTACTTCACATGTTATTCACTATTGTTTATTAACATAGAAACATAGAATGTGATGGCAGATAAGAACCATTCGGCCCATCTAGTCTGCCCAATTTTCTAAATACTTTCATTAGTCCCTAGCCTTATCTTATAGTTATTGATCTCTACTCTCTCTGCATTTCTGGTTTTAGAACTATAAACTTCGAGAGGGAATATCTTACGATAATGGACGTTATTATAATGCAGCTCAAGCCAGAATAATGTCAGAATATAAAGAGCTAAGCTGATAGTTATTTAAAAAAACAACAACAAAATGTATATAATTCAGGCTTCCCTGTTACATCTGCCCATGATACAAGCTTCACATAAAGAGGTCTCATGAGGTTTAGTAATCTTCGATGCACCTGAATATGGAACATTGTCTATCACCTCTCGATAACAGTTTTTCTTTATTTTGGTTATCAGCCTCATCAATACTTCGTGCTTATTGTCTCCTTTAACTGTTGCTGTCAGCATGTCATTTTGTATACATGTTCGACACTTCTGCCTAAAGAGTCTCAGACGGACTTCTCCACTTGAAGATGCAACAAGTCGATAATGAAAAGTGAGAGAGACTCGAGCAGACTCCCAAAAGTGTCTGCAGCTGGGACAGTTGAATCTAAAAATAAAAAGAGGACAAAAGAATAATCATATTATTTTATGTAGTTACACAAAAGATAGAATAGCATCAGGTTATTTAACATTTAAACAATATTTAGTGGAACAAGTAAGAATATTTGATCTTTTGAAAAGATTTTTAAAAGATTTCAGATTTTTTGACATTTTGTTTTTACATAGACTGCAGTAAGAAAAGCTGACCACTAGTCTCTAGTAGTATACTTAGGATACCTACAAAGGAGTGCCCTGTTTTGGACATGAAGACTTTGAAGCTATTTTATTTACAGTTTTCATGTCATGCTGTGCAATCATATCTGTGGTTACATTGATACCTTTTTACTTTCCCTTAGTTCTATACTGATGTGGCTACTTCTAGTTTGCGTATAGTAATTTTCACGTCTGCTATTTTTTTTTTTTTTTGGGCATTATTTTGGTTTAGGCTCTGTTTCCAAATTGCCTTTGTTGACCCATTTTCTGAGTAGGGCTTCCTGCTTTCCCTTCACACATATATATATATATGCTGTGTAGGACGCAGTGTTTGTTAATATATAACTTGTCCATGTACGCTAATTAATTTCCTGTTTCCTTACCATTTGATAAAAGTCTTTACCTGTTTAAAAATATCAGCATAAGAAAACATAGACCAAGGCTAGACTGGGACAAAAATTCAGCCCAAGCATTTTAAGGCAGAGCAAGTCAATAGAGTAGGGGGTGTTGTATTATCATTGACAAACACACAGTTTAAAGTGAGCATTTCAGTTTGATGCCTCTCAAGGACAGTCCATTTGCAGAGTGCTGATGAAGAGCTCTCACGTGGGGAAAATGGCCTATGTTTGTAATTTATTTGTTTCTCCATAAATGGGACACCAGACCAGAGGACAAAAGAGGGACAGGATTGGAAGTGGGTGAAGTGTGTGGAGAGAGAGGGAGACTGCATGTGGTGTATGCATCTGGAGGATGATTGAGGTGTTATATGCATGCAGTTGGCCTCCTGTGGTGCTTTATGTATGTGATTGTGTGTTTTTTGATTGGGCTGTTTGTGACGTATTGTGTGTCTGTATAGGGGCTGTACACTGTGTGGGGAGTAGGTTCTGTACTGTGTGTGGAGGTAAAAGGGCTGTACTGTATGAGGGGACGGCATAGGGACTGTACTGTGTGGGATAGGGTCTGTGCTGTATTATTGGGCGGAATAGGGTCTGTATTGTGTGTGGGTGTAAAAGGGCTGTACTGTATGATGGGGCAGAATAGGGACTGTACTGTGTGGGGTTGGGCCTGTACTGGGGGGTAGGAACCAGGGCCGCCATCAGAGCATGACAACCATGATGGCTGTCATTGACCTGAAGGTCCGGGGGGCCAACACTGCTTGGGGAAACTTGGGCCTGGGGAAATATGGCTGTACAGGTCCAGGGCCACACAGTCCCAATGTGTAGAGATATATAGTTATTACTGCTATATATATATGTGCACCGACCTATGGGCCCCCAAGCTACCTAAGTTTAAACTGCAGAGGTGCCATCTTCACTTTACAATGAGAACCATAGAGAGAGAGGAGCAGCTGGAAAGTGAAGATGCCGCTTGGTGGGCCTTCAGCAGTCTACAGCACCTGGCTCCCTGCACCATGCCACTAGATCACCAGGGGATGTATTCTCCCCCACCCTGGACAGGTAAGAAGCAAAGGGGGCGGGGGGGGGGAATAAAATGTATTAAAATAAATGTAAAAAATAAAACCAAAAATGCTTTTTTTGTTCTCACAAAATGCAGTCCCTGTTTTACACAACATTTACAAACACTATATACACTACACAAACACACCCTGAATTCACTATACACACAGAATCAACTACACAAACACACACTTTGTATTCCCTATGCATCCATTACGCACATTCTGCATCCACTATTCACACTGCATCTAATACACACAAGCACTGCATCAATTACACAAACATACATTTGCCTTCACTATACAAACCCATACTCCGCACCCTGTACACACACTGCATAAATTACACACACTGCATCCATTACACACACACTACATCCACTTTACAAACTTACAGCAACCACTTTACAAACTTATGTATCTTTCTCCTCCCAGACTCTTTGTTTCTCTCCTTCTCCTCCAACTAATTTGTCTGTCTCTGTTTCCCCTTCCCCAGCCCATCTGAATGTCTCTTCCCCAGCCCCTTTTTGCATCTTTCTCCCCCTAGCCCCTTTGTGTATTTCTCTTCTCACCCAGACCTTCTGTGTGTCTCTTTGTCCCCTCAGCCCTCTGTGTGTCTCATTGCCCCCTTCAGCTCTCTGTACGCCTCTTTGCCTCCCCCTGCCCTTCTGTGAGCTTTTCGCCCCACTCAGCCCTCTGTGTGCCTCTTCCTCCCCCACTCAGCTCTCTGTGTGCCTCTTTCCCTCAAACCATCTGTGTGAATCTCTGCAATCTCTCCCCCTACCCCTGGTCCTCTGTGTGCCTCTCCTTTCCTATATGTGGCAGGTCTCACCCCTCCCGTATTTTGTGTGATCGGGACTGAAGCTGTTAATATATATATATATTAACAGCTTCAGTCCCGATCACACAAAATACGGAAGGGGGGAGACCTGCCACTATATATATATATATATATATATATATATATATATTAAGATTGCTTATTTCTGTCTTTATCTGGATTAACTATCATTGTTTGTAAAAAAAAATAAAAAAAAATATGTTATCATCTGACTGCTCACATGCATCATATTTATCAAATTATCACTTTATCACAAACAACTATTACCCTCTGGATGTAAAAGAAGCAAAACCCATGGTTGCATTAATTTCATCCTGGACACATAAGGAACAGGTGACAAAAGAAGATACAATTAGAGACATTAGTGAACTGATTCATGTCTCTATTATAACCACTAGTGATGTACCGAACGGTTCGCCGGCGAACGGTTCCTGGCGAACATAGCATGTTCGCGTTCGCCACGGCGGGCGAACATATGCGCGGTTCGACCCGCCCCCTATTCGTCATCATTGAGTAAACTTTGACCCTGTACCTCACAGTCAGCAGACACATTCCAGCCAATTAGCAGCACAGCCTCTCTAGCAGACCCTCCCACC